TACAACAAGTTCAAGAAGGCGTGTAAGGATGCCAAACGTGATTTCTTCGATGAACGCATCGCAGAAATCGCCACTTCTCGCAAACACCCATGGGACCTAATGGAATGGGTCAAACAGCATAAGCTACCATCTTGTGAGGCTATGTGCAATGGCGACCAGCCTTGTCATGATATGGATGACCTGTGGGATGCCCTCCACAGCACATACAACTCAGCCTCTGGCCGTGAGTATGATGCCTCAGTCTTAGAAGAACTTCCCAATGAGCCGGTCTGTGAGTGGGCTGACTTCTTGGAGCATGAGTTGTTGAGTGCCCTCAAGGGGTGCTCCAACTCCTCTGCTCCAGGACCAGACCATGTTACATGGGTCCACCTAAAGGAGCTGCTCAAGGACAAACACGTCCTTGTGCTCTTCATTGTGTTGGCCAATGCTTGCCTTAGGGTGGGGCACTGGCCACGTATATTCAAGGAGTGGCTCAAGCCAGAGATGTGCCTGCCCAAAACCAGACGCAGAGAGTTAGCGGTGCTGCGATCAACCAAAAAGGTCAACTGCCTGCATGAAAGAGCTGTCACGGGTGCAGGTCTCCAAACCCTAAGGTTCGAGGGTGTCAATTCACCATAAATCGCCCAACAGGAGGAATAACCCCACCTGCAGCGATTATCTGACACCTGAGGGGTCCTGCTTGAAGCCAAACACTGTGGGGTTGTACTTCATAAATGATGCAATATCTCCGAGAAAACGGGGATAGTGTACAGAATATCTATCATGGCAGTGAAAGAGGACGTGCTGGCGAGACTGCAGAGCAGCCCCGCAAGTGCAGCCATGAGGCTCATTGATCTTGAAGTGACGATAATACGCTCCAATGGGCGCGTGGCCAGTTATACACCAGCAAACACAAGCGAACTCAGTGATACTGTGTCCGAAGGTTGAAAGCCAAGGTCCCCCATTGAGGTACGATGGCTGGATCCTGGCTGCCTTCGAGTCTAGAGCCTCGGTAGGTACGATCCTGGAACATGGAGCCCCATACGTTGAGACTTGAGTGCACAGCTCAAGAGCGAAGCACATCTATAGAATTGTCCAGCTTGCAACGTCCAACCCTGACTTTGAGTTCAGTGACATACTTATGCGCCTCACCATAGTATATGTATGATCGCACAGATAGTCAGCAGAGATCATCCGCCTCGAACCACTCTTCGAGAGCGTGACAGACTGACAGACTGAAAGCCTGACCAGAGTGCATGGAGGGGTCGACTGCTCTGTGGGCTGAGCCCATAGAGTCAGTAAAGACCATGATATGTTGGCAGTTTGCCTGCTTGACTGCAAGGCGCACCGCGCACACAATGGCATTGAGTTCCGCATCCAGTGCGGTAACCCTGCCAGAGACGTAGCAAGTTCTTTCAAGCTCGCAATGTCCCTTGTAGATTATGGCAGCTGAAGCCGCCTGATACTGATTGGACTGAGGGACAGAGCCATCAGTAGCAGCCAGTACTGTTAGTGGGTCGGCCCTCGCTTTCGTGATGAGCTTGTCTAGATATGGGCACCTATCCTGGGCAGGATCACGCTTGTCAAAGTGGAGATGGTCCGCCTAGCGGTCCAGTAACTGGTCGCCTGGGCGAGCTTCGGGCGCAAAGGGCTTGAAGCTCTCAGTTAAGGTGTGGACATGCTTGTCCACCTCCATGACAGTGCTCTCGACTTTTCCTTGCATGGCTGGGGTCATCAAGGCGGCTGAGCAGGCGTGTGGCTCAGCCTGCTTAAGGAGTCTCTCACCCATCATAGAGTGAAGAGGATGAGTGTCTGAGGGGGTAGTGACACGATACACTGCACACATTGCTCGCTTCTTTAGCATGAGATGGACGGGGATAAGACTGGCGAGGGCCTCAAGACTGCCTGTGGGTGAGGTGCGGAAGGCACCTGTGATGCATAGAGCAGCTTTCCGCTGCATCCGTTTGAGCTGGTTCATGGCACCTTTATTATGGGTGCCATTGAAGTACCAGAGACGATAGCCATACGTGGCAATGGGAATCATGCATGACCTATAAAGGAGGTGCCGCTGTTTAGGTGAGAGACCTCTGGTAGAGTTTCCGAGCATGCGCATGGCCTGCACAGTGGTGAATGCCTTGGTGGCATAGTAGCAAATGTGCTCATGAAACGTGAGCCCACGGTCAAAGTAGAAGCCCAAGTACCTCCAATAGGTCTTGGGTTTCAAAGGTGTATCACCTGTATGCAGGGTGTACCCCAGATCCAGCAAAGGATTATAGGTGTCGCGTCGACACGAGAAATGGAACAGCTCGGTCTTGTTGTGTTCAAGAACAAGTGCAAAAGCAACAAAGAGGCACTCTCCGGAGGTACTTGGGCTTCTACTTTGACCACGGGCTCACGTTTCATGAGCACGTTCGCTACTACGCCACCAAGGCATTTACCACCGTGCAGGCCATGTGCATGCTCGGGAACTCTACTAGAGGTCTCTCGCCTAAACAGCGCCACCTCTTATATCGGTCATGTGTGGTTCCTATTGCCACATATGGCTATTGTCTCTGGTATTTCGATGGCACCCGCAATAAGGGCACGATGAACCAGTTGAAACGGATGCAGCGTAAAGCTGCTCTATGGATCACAGGTGCTTTCCGCACCTCCCCCACAGGCGGTCTTGAGGCCCTCGCTGGCCTCATCCCTGTCCATCTTATGCTGAAGAAGCTGGCAACGCGCGCAGTGTATCGCGTTGCCACCCTCTCGGATACTCACCCCCTTCGCTCTATGATGGGCAAGGGGCTCCTTAAGCGAGCCGTGCCACATGCTCGCTCAGCCGCCTTGATGACCCCAGCTATGCGAGGGAAGGTCAAGAGCACTGTTATGGAGGTGGATGAGCGTGTCCACACCTTAACTGAGAGCTTCAAGCCCTTTGCGCCCGAAGCTCGCCCAGGTGATCGGTTACTGGACCGCTATGCGGACCATCTCCACTTTGACAAGCGTGATCCTGCCCAGGATAGGCGACCATATCTAGACGAGCTCATCACGAAAGCGAGGGCCGACCCTCTAACAGTACTGGCTGCAACTGATGGCTCTGTCCCTCAGTCCAACCAGTATCAGGCGGCTTTGGCTGCCATCATCTACAGGGGACATTGCGAGCTCGAGAGGACTCGCTACGTCTCCGGCAGAGTTACCGCCCCAGATGCAGAACTCAATGCCATCTCGTGCGCAGTGCGCCTTGCTGTCAAGCAGGCAAACTGCCAACATATTATGGTCTTTACTGACTCTATGGGCTCGGCCCATAGAGCGGTTGACCCTTCTGTGCATTCTGGTCAAGCTTTTAGCTTGTCAGTTTGTCGCGCTCTCCAAGAGTGGTTCGCGGCGGATGATATCCGCCACATCACTTTCGTTTACGTTCCATCTGCATTGCGGTGGGATATTCATGGTGAGGCACACAAGTATGTCACCGAATTCAAAGTCAGGGTTGGACGTCGCAGGACAGACAACTCTATAGACGCGCTGTGCTCTCGAGCCGTGCACTCAGTCCTGGACTTGTGGAGTTCCACTTTCCAGGATCCAACTTACTGAGGCTCTGAATTTTTGGAGCTTCAATGGCCTGACAGGCAGCCAATCCAGCCATCGTACCTCAATGGGGGACCTTGGCTTTCAACCTTCAGACACAGTATCACTGAGTTCACTCACGTCTGCCAGTGCATAACTGGCCACGCGCCCATTGGAGCGTACTACCGTCACTTCAAGATCAATGAGCCTCATGGCTGCACTTGCAGGGCTGCTTTGCAGTCCCATCAGCACATCCTCTTTCGCTGTCACGATAGATACTCTGTACACTATCCCTGTTTTCTCGGGGATATTGCATCGTTTTTGAAGCACAACCCTACAGTGTTTGGCTTCAACCAGGACCCCTTGGGGGTCGGATAATCGCTGCAGGCAGGGTTATTCCTCCTTTTGGGGGATTTATCAGTGAATTGACACCCTCGAACCTTAGGGTTCGGAGACCTGCGCCCACAACTACTTCTTCACGTCTGCAGCCCGATATTATTGTGGGTTGCAGTGTCACTAACTCTCTGCATCTGGTTTCAGGCAGGCGTATCCCTGGCTTGTCAGCCTCAAGACACCCTGCCACCTCCCGGGTGGTGCTGTTCTTATTTCATTCGCACTGCGTGGCCTCCGAACAGTGATCGACGACTTTGGGGTGTAGTGGAACCTCGATGGTTTCCTCCCCTTATCCCAATGCACTGTTTTCGCGAGGTGGGTTGCCCTCTGGGAAGTTTCAACATATACACCAGAAGGGTCTTGGTTGGGGGGGCAGACATCTTTAAGTAGTTTGCTTAGTAACTGGGTCATGTAGCGTACGTGTTCTGTAGATAGCGAGCGGGCTGCCATCGAGCACCGCTATATAAATTGTTGATAAAAAAAAAAAAAAAAAAAAGCACAGGAAGAGGAAAGCAACAATGATCATGAATAGGGAGCTCATTCTGTGATTATTCTGGAGCCAAAGTCATACTCAGATGCAATGAAGGGACCTATGGCAGACAAGTGGAGAGATGCAGCAGTAGAGGAACACAATTGGCATCAAGAAAATTGTTAAAACTGGGTGTAATCTGACCACTTTGGTTAACCCCAAGTTAGGGGTATTGGAAGGCTGGCACTGCAAGTCATTTGGAAGACCAGAATGGGTCATTGTAGACTTGGTGCAGTCATTGGTTGTGTGGTCATTACATTCCAGTTTAGTGTTCCCAATGGCCAGGTAGCTCAGTGGTTAGAGCTGCTGGTATATATCCAGATGGTCCAGGGTTCAATCCCCTGTCTGGTCGCTTTTCCAACCTTTAACAAAAATTGCACATGGGACATTGTCAAACTACCTCCAGGAAAGACAGCCATTGGATCTCATTGGATATGGAAAGTCAAGTACAAGGCAGATGGTGAAGTTGAACGGTTAAAAGCACGCTTGGTGGCACAAGGGTTCAGCCAACAACCTGGCCAGGACTACTTTGAGACATTTGCATCTACCATGAGGGCTGCAACACTTCGTATTGTATTGGCACTAGCTGCAATTGATGACATGCATTTACGTTCTGTTGATATCTCATATGCATTGACCAATGGGGACATTGATGTTGAAATCTACATGAAGCAGCCTGAAGAGTTTGTGCAATTTGGCAAAGAGTATGTCTGCAAGCTGAACAAGTCTCTGTATGGGTTAAAGCAATCAGCACGGTTGTGGAGTGAGAAGCTCACCAAAGTCTTATTGGAAATGGGATTCAAGAAGACCTACAGTGATGCTTCACTCTTCATCTTTGATCGAGATGGTTACGAGTTCTTACATTAGTAAGACTCGTTCTTTCAACCCAGGTTGCAGAGATCATTTTACTTTCCCACGTTATGGTCATCCATGCTTTTTTTCCCACAGTAAGTATTACATTGATGGCATAGCTACATTTTCAATAGTTCACTACATTTTTACTGGCTATTGTAGTAATGCCCTTCTTGCCCTCTGCAAAATCAAAATCACCAACCTCCCTTGCTCACTGCAGCCCTCTCTCCCCCTTCCAACATAACCCCCAGCACCATCCAACAACAGCCCTGGTGCTCAAATGATCCTGGACTTCACAGTTCAGCACCATTCACGCTTGTTCAGCCACCGCCACCTGCCCCTCTCGCCCCACGACCACCTGCTTGCCCTCCTCACCCTTTGTCTCTTGCCCCTCTCCAGCCTTCAAGGACAG